GAAGCAGCGCTAAAACCTCACAAGATAACTGTAGCCCCCCAGCACAAAAGCAACAGAGTTGTTATACTTGTGTGCTGAAAAGAATACAGAGTTCATAACACTATCAGAGTGAATTATATCAATTTCTCCCTCCTTCAATCACAGTATAATACTTTAGGTCCTCGGTCACGACAGGGTAAGGAAATTTTCCTGGACTTTTTACATCCCACCAGTAAAAGAACTGACTAAAATTGTTTCAAATTGTTTATTTAAAAGCACTTTGTTTACTTAAAAGAACAACTAAATGTGAATCTTTCCTTCCTCTTTCGTTGAACTACGACACAATGTGAAACTAAAATCAAATTGGTAAATTTTCAGGTCTCCAATCAGAAAAATATGAAATGAACTTCCACAGCACTGTGTTTGATCACTTGAGTAAAGAGACATATTTTAATTGTTAAATCATATCTTTTGCTGCATTTTGTAGAGAAAAGTTCTGGAACTAACCTGACCATTTTCCTTTCACTACCACAAAAGTTGTCCAGCAGCTCAACAAGCTATCCGTATTCTCCAAATTACGGGCAGCTGCAAAATCTGATCCCACTTACAGTAACTGGAAACATTAACCAAACATACACTATGCTTTGACTCACTTATATCCTTCTTGATAAAATCCATTCTTAATACTATAACATCATTGTTTCTTTGCAGTTGAGACTTTTCACATCATTTCTAAATACCAAAGTGTACCAAATACACACTTACCAATGCATGTCTTACACATTCATCTATCAAATTTACTTTTTTAATCTGACCTGCAAAAAAGTGAAAAATATTCAATATGTTCATCATAATGCAAAAGTTTAATTATAGACCCGTGTCCCAAAACTCTTATCTGCTGTGAAGAAGACGATAGTGTAATGAGGTTGTGTCTGCTTCTCCCTGAATATTTTGCCGCTCCTCAAGGGCTGGTGTCGTTCTCTGAGATCAAGTATTGGTACATCCCTCCCCTCACCCACATGACACACAACGCTGTTTACCTGACAGGATGCCCATGCTGCTCCTCCTCGCAGCGTCAGAAACCACAACTCTGCATGTTTTTGCAAGCAATATGTCTCACACATTTTTTGTTTGTTTAAGAAACTGATTTTTTAAATAAGTTACATTCAATTTCATCATCACAGATTCGCAACAACTGTTTAAGCAAAATTTCCTTTGATGTTTTTCTCTCTCGAAAAAGGGTGAATTTGACAGTGTCATTCATCAAACAAGACCCTACATCTATCTGTTATTTCAATAATACTATAAGGTCCCAATTTGTCCCCAAGAATAAGAACAATGGAAAATATTTCAATATCAGTAAGTCACAAAGCTGACTACTGGTGCAAAACGACATTGTCGTTAATAAAACTGCTATATTTATGTCTTTCTTGCATTCATTGAGTGCCCTGCTTTACTTTCTATTTTGTTCTTCCCTCAACTGCTCACGATAAACTGGCAAGTAGCCTGTAAATTCTAGTTGTTTTTGTTTTTTTTCATAAGACTGTCAAGATTTTACGAATTTAATTAGATAATCGCACTCCTTTTTTCTACCTTATTCTCAGTCATACAGTACAAGGTAGAAATTGGCAAAAGCTAATGAATCATGGGATGGGGAATACCAATGCTGCCATGACAAAATGAAATGAAAAGTCGGTTAGAGTTAACTCTGCCAAAACTTCATACATGTGGCACAGTTAATATTGGCAAAATAATTTAAAATAGCACTGTGCATGCATTTAACTTTCTGTCAACACTGTACTGTTTACAGAAATACTCAATAATCCCCTCAAATATTTCATAATTCATGCAAGTGACATAATACTTCCATCAGTCTGTCCCTCATGATGCAAAATGAAAGTTACATGGACCTCACTCACAAACCACAAAGAGAAATATCTTTACAAACAAAACGATAAACAGACCTTGCTACCCATTCAGAAGATCAAAACATATCGACAGTAATATCTAACCACGAGCACGCAGTCCTAGACATGAGCATTAGAATCACTATACAAATATGTCAAAAGTAATGGAAACTGCTATTAGTCTTGGAGGTAAGATGCATACCTCTCAAGCCCCAAGTAGGCTCTACCTGGTTTGATTGCGAGGTGGATTTTTCTCAAATTTTTTTCTGCCCCGAATCTTAGGGTGGGTGAGATTTAACTCACTGGTCTTCTTGGAATAAGAATGAAAATCTCAGAGGTTTCAAGTGCTCCGTGCATGCATTAAGGACACTTTCCCCTTGACACTGAAAGCCAAAGACAAACATGTCTGTCCAGGCAACTTTTTAAAGTTACTTTCTAAAGTTTGCTTACTCAAAAACTAAAGCAACTCTGTGCAGAATAAAATTAAATTGAAAATTCATTCCAAACAATTATATGACTGTCTGAAAGGTGAGGTACACTATGGCCATATGCATGTTTGTTGCATTATGGGTTGAAAATCTCAGTTGACAACATCTAAGTCCTAGCTGAGGTGCAAAGAAGAAGACGAAGAAGCCTTTATTATTTCTCAATATTTACTCAAGTAGAGGAGTGTTCATCAATGTCAGTTAACATTCTACCTTTCTCTTCTATGTTCCTGATTCTCAAGTAAAGACAGCCAGGGACCAATTTTTGTTTTCTAGCTTATGATTTTTGTAACAGATCAGAGACCAAATTGTTGAAACAACAGACATTCTAAGCCCACCAGTATTGAGCAGAGAAGCAATAGAAAATAACTAAAACTAATCCAGCTCTGTTACAATTTAAAATCCTAATTATTATTTTAAAAAACACAACAGTTTGAAATAAGAAGACAGAACACTGTATGCAACACCCCACCCCCAACCACCACCATCATTTTCAAAATTATATTTTCTCTAACAAAATCTAGGTCTGAAGGGCCAGATATACAACTGTTTGAAGTACTTCTTTAAACCCTACTGTCCTTCAGGTAAGCATAAAAGCACTGTCTGGAGAAAACAGGTACAGAACTGAGGGTGGCAGTATCTAAAACACAGAATTTCGTTAAACATTTTTATTCATAGCAATATTATTGAAGTGTGTCCTGTAAAACAGCATTTAACAAAATCAAAAGGGTATATTTTTACAAACTGAAGAATTAGGATTCATTGACTCATTGATGTCTCAAAACTTAACACAGTATAGACGAAACAAAAATCAAAACAACCAAATCGATTCCAATGACTTGAGTGCCTGAGATTTGTAAGCACCAGTACAGTGGAACACATCAAGGTCAAAGGGGACAAAACAAATGTTAGCGCAAACATGGCCAAAGGAATATCAAGCCAAAAACTTGACACAGAATGTTCCGGTATCTCTCTATGGCAGCTTCATATCACAAGATAGGCACCTGCATCATTACCTCTGTACTTAAGTTAAACATCTGTTTAAGACTGTAGTCTTGTATTCATTCTTTCTCATTTTTAGTAGTTTTAAAACTTTTACGGCACTTACAACACAATTAGGTCATATAAAACTGGAAGATTAGAGGTGTTACAAGAGAGTAACATAGGGGGGAAAAAAGGACAAGAAATAAGGATGATACATATTTGATAGGAAAAAAGAAGCAAATCACACTAGAGCACCCACCAACCATCCACAATCCTTCTTAAGAAGATTCATAGTAAGCTACTCCCCGGGCAGGGCAGCTCATTTCCCATTCATTCTCAGTCTATGAAGGACTGTGAAGTGATAAATTCAAAGTGCTCATTGAGAGATGTACTAGCAGTGCTAGTAGTGTGTCCTCTTTCATGGTAGACTCACATGACTTCACAACAACTTTCTTCGCTGGTTCACTTCAGTTCACTCTAATTAACTGTCTTAAAGCCCCTTGCCAATTTACATCATTGCAACCTATAGGGCACATAGTGTAATCATTAACATCTTCAGTACCCATAGGCAAGTACCCATTTACAACTGAGAGAATTGAGAAGAATAGATAACAGTACTTCACCAGTGATAAAATATCTTACCTCGTTGATCAAATCTAAGATGTTACAACTGTGAGCCTAATGTCATACTGCTCGACTAAGACCCCCCAGGTTTACCTATAGCCCCTTTCTCAGGGGAATATAAGCCCTTGTGTCATTAAAATCAATAAAAGGTCCACATAAAAGAAACGTGATAAAATTTTTCTTTCCAGCCTCTGACTCGATGATAAACTAGAAGAGACTTGAACTGATGATCAGACAAACTGAAGCAGGAAGCCTGGGACTCAAGCTTCTGAATATGAAGAACACCTACACACGTCTGGCCTTCCCTTTCATACTGCTGAACCAAATCCTTATCACATTCCAGCAACAATCTGAAGCATAATATAACTAAGAAGTCTCAATGCATCAGTTACCATGAGCACCAAAAAATATCATAAGAGTTTTTCCAAAGTATACTGGAACATTGTCTCAGCCCTCACAGACAAAATACGTGAACCATTTCACACTTAAACTACATGTAGTAATTTCAATGAGATCACAAAGTAATGCCACAATCATCGCAAAGTCTAATTGACAAACTGCTTTCAAAGTTCAGATACATCGCCCTCACAGCACTCTATGACATAACAAATGTTTTTACTTTAGTCAGTGAATATGTGCAATGCCTCATACGCCATGTGCTAGCAGACTTTAATTAATATCTTAATCCATCTCAGACCTTTGACAACACACGCAATCAAAGTGTATTGATCAAACAGGGAAAGAGTAAATGATATTTGACTCAGACAAGCAACTAACATCAGCCACTCTCTCTTTCTTTCGCTGTTCTCGTTGGGACTTGTTTTCTGTGTACAAATACTGCTGTGGTTGGAGGGTGGTCTTTCTACTCTCTCCCTATTCTCTCTCGCTATCTCTCCCCCCCCCCCATCCTCTATGCCTCCCTATCTCTCTGTCTGTCAGTCCTTCCCCTTCTTCTCTTTCTCCCTCTTTATGAATTTGTGAGTGCTAGTGTGAATACACAAGCATGTGTATGTGTGCAACATTTTTTTTTTAAACAAAGAGGAATTACACTGTAGCACTCCATCATTCTCATATGTCAATTTCCTATGCTCTACAGTTTTTTCTTTTTACCCCATGTTCCTACTCATGTCCACAGAGCTATCAACAACACAGGTGCAGACCTTCGTGCCACACACACACACACCCACACACACACACACACACACACACACACACACACACACACACACACACACACACACACACGTAACACAAAGTAAAATCAGCAGGCAGTAAAAATTGAAAGCCTCGGACATAATGATTCATTCTGATATACATTTTCAAAGAAAGTCTTTGAAAACAAATACTTTTTCATTCATATTTTATAACATAATATAGTATTAAAATCCAGTTTGGCAAAAGCGTCAAAATAATGAATGTCAGCAACATTCATCAAATCATTTGCTCAAGCAAAAAATAAAAATTTATGGTATTTTAAAAGTCAGTAATTTTTCACTTATATTTTTTTTTATTACTTTTTTTCACAATATGTAACCAAAAGGGCCAAAAGAGTTGTCCAGACTTCCGACAAAACTGAAACAACAACACTATTGCCCCAGTAGGGCCTACTCTTAATTGTAGCCACACTACCATATTTAAGATACACTTTGACATACAACTTGTCATTCCAGAAGTATTTTGGCATATATTTTGCCTTTTCTAAACATATTTTGGCATATTATCACAAATTATACTTTATGAAGAAATTAAGGTCAAGATAAAAGTTAAAAGTTCACTTCAAAGTCTACACATTTCTCCTGAAATACAAACTTTCTTTAGTTGTTGTTATCGATCTAGTAACACTCTCTTTAAAAGTTAGCAACTTTAGAAATTAATATGTTTGACCTCAATTCAAATAAAATAATTAGCCTTTTATTTATGCCCCATGAGGTTATGTTTCTCTGGGACTTTTATAACCAAAAATCATCCACCTAATCAACACTGAGTGACAAATGGAAAGTCCAATAACATTTTCACAAAAACACTTCCGCTAAATACAGTTCTCGCTGCACTCCTGCTTGGAAAGTTGACCTGGAACTGAGCAGTGTTCAGAGGAATCACCTGGAGCTACCGAAACCTCTGGAGATTAAATGAATTGCATCTACAAAGACATTTATACATCACATCCACAGGTAGTACATCGACTGTCTAACAACAAACAAAGAGTCTGAAACATCAGATATTTCCAGAATTCCTGATAATTCCAGTGAAGTGGCACCTCAAATGTTTGCTCGGAGCAGGTGATGGTGTCAGAGTGTGCCATGTTTAAGCCTAGACTAGTGCAAGGCCAATGCTGCCATGACATGAAAGACGTCGCGGTCAACTTTAAATTCTGCAGTGGACTGCGTTGGAACTTTGATGAGTCTGTCTGGTAACATTTCGTAGTCTTCTTTCCAGCTCAATGTCATCTAGCTTGACGAAAGCAAAGCAGTAAAACAGTCGTTTGACCCAAGAGTCAACAGATCATCTCCAGCATGCTGGGAGCAAGATACTGGGCTCTCTGTTGTATTATCACCTCGTATTGGTAGAATTAGGGTCAAGGAACAGCATTTTGTCGTTGAAAGTCATAAACCACATATATGTATTCTTTCTTTGAATGAACTTACACGGTTTATGACAAACATTAACCATTTGTTGAATCAGTGTCAACACAGTTCAGTGTCTATCACAATCTATAATCAAACTAATGTGCCATTTCAACAATTAAGAAAATCTTAACATAAATGACGGAGCAATACTCAACCCATGAAGTTCGTCAACAAATAAGAAACCCTTTAAACAATACCTTTTGAGTATACTGACTGACGATGGTGAATGAATTGGCTTTACAAAATTCAACGCATTAGAATTGTGGGGGTTTACCTTTGTTAAGAAAACATGCCACACTAGACTGGGCTTTTCAAGTAAACCCAATTTCAAGACTACACGATATGTCCTATGTTGTCAATAGGTAACTAAATATGGGAAATAAGTTTGGAATAAAACATCACAACCTTCTCTCTGCATAAACTACTTCCAGCTCAAGTGATAATACCATCACCCTCTAACATGTCCACAAGGTTAATACACTTCAGCCTCTAAAACATTGCTCTCTGTTTGTCTCACGTGACGCTCCATGAAATAATCCATTCCACAACAGAGAAAGTTCTAGAGGAAGCTTTTGCACAAAATTACTCTACTGTGATCAAAGCACACTGTAAAACACATGTCTGTCAACTATAGGTCCTTTGCCTCCATCAGTCCTATGTCTTTACCAGACTTGACATAAACAACTTTCTCCTTTCGTAACGAGGGAAAGACAGTGCTTCAGCAAAATGTAAGTCATTTCTTGCGCTTCCAACAATCCGGATGCTTCTGCTTCTGTTGCTCGGCTCTTCGTGTGGCTTCCTCTTTCCACTTTCGTTTCTCATCCTCAGGAAGGAGCCGCCAAGCCTCACTTAGTTTCGTACTTATCAATCTGTGGATAGCATTATAGTAAGTTTATTGCCCTGAAAGTATGTACATACAAATAATCTAGTCATTTTTTTATAGATAAAAAGTTAGATGCAGAAATAGAAGGCAATACATATATATAAAAAATCATTTAAACAGCACCAAAGAGGAAAAAATGTGTTCCGAAAATTCTAATAAAAATCTTGAACATCAGTTAAAATCTTTTTATTTCAAGAAGTTTCAAATTCAGACATGTCAACTTTAATTCCAAATTAAACTAAATAATAGATAATAATAATAGATAGCATTTGTATAGCGCAAATCCCCGCTCAACAGCAAGCTCTATGCGTTTCACAATCTATACTATTACCCCAGCAGACTTGAGAGCATTCTGAAACAAAACTCAACTTCCTGAAAAGTATACAGTGCAAGCAGCCATTTATAGGCACTCAAACACTAACATACTGACAAGATCTTTCGTTGTCTATGGCCGGGTACCCATTTCCACCTGGGAGAAGTGAGGAAAATTCGTGCAAAGTGCCTTTCCCAAGGACACAACGTCGGGCCCGCAGCTCGAACCCCCAACTCCGCAACCTCACGATTAAGAGTCCGGTAGCCTAACCACTAGGCTGCCGACGCCAAACAAAAGACCACATATTCTAAACAAGGTTTTAGAGACTTACCTTTAACTCTGACAAAAGAGTTCTTGCAAACCACAATTATTTTTTTTTACGTACATGATGTATAGGTCTATCTAAGATCTTGCTATCAATTTGACTTTAAACAAGCATTTTTCATCACTTGCTCTTTTCAGTAAAATTTAAAATGCACCAAATCACTGTTCATTGCCAAGTGAAAATGACCTATGCAGACAGCATACATAATTACCTCGACCAACAAGTGGAGAGGAGAGCCCCAATGATCTGAACATTCCCAACCCACTTGCCTGTTATTGGTCTCTGGGTACTTTTTGTTGAAGTCTCCTCGATTCTTCTGTGCATACAGCATGAACGCATTCATCGGACGTTTTGCTTTGTGTTTCTCCTGCTCCTCTTGCTGTTGTTGCTGCTGCTGCTGTTGTTGGTGTTGTTGTTGTTGCTGTTGTTGTTGTTGTTGCTGCTGCTGCTGCTGCTGCTGCTGTTGTTGTTGTTGAGCAGGTGGTGTTGGATGCACACGGTGAGCAAATTCTGACCCTGGCTGATGCAGAACTTTGGTGCCTTTGTAGCTCTTGACACCTCTTGAACGCTGAAATGGGGGAAATTTGCAACTGTGTAAGATGCATGCTGAGGAAAACACCAACTCAGTGCCTTGAGGTCAAAATATAGAATCAGTGCCTTAACCCTTTGAGCCCTAACCCTTTGAGCCCTAACCCCCTGAGGCTACCGAGCCCCTCTGTCTAAGCTCCTGAGAGATTACTCTGACTCATATCGTCAAAATCAAATTCAATATGACACTCAAGGTAGTCCTCTTCATTATCACTACTAATTCAGAAAGATTTTTAAAATGATTTTTTTTTAAACGTTCTGTATAGTAAACACTGATCTCCTTGCGCACTTTGCCCCAGATGGGGTGGGTCGGGAATAGGGTCTCGCTCACCGGTGTACAGGTGGCTAGGGATACGAGCAATTTTATGCAACACCGGTGTACCAGTGGCTAGGGCCCAAAGGGTCAAGGGTCTGAGGTCAAAATATAAAAACCATTCTGATGACTAGGTGCTATTCTGAAGATTTATGTATGTGCCCCTGAGTAAATTGTTTTAAGCACACAAACGATTTAATGATACATTCTATAAGACGCAAAAAATGACAATGCAATGGATGACCATTTACCCACTACTGGCCGTAAGGAAAGTCATTCCAATAGATCATCTTAGTCTCTTTGCACTCCTCACAGAATAGAACCAGTTATATGCCCACAAGCAATTATATTCACATATTTCTATCCCCATCAATTGCCAAGAGCCCATTTGCGGATCCATGAACTACAGATTTTACAGTCAAATACCTTCCACAGAATACAGCATCCTTGCTCAGCCCAGTCAGGAACTGAATACTTAATCTCAAAATTGCTAATCTAACATCTCTACCGTAGACTGAAGCAACCCTTTTTTTATCTGGCCAAATTTCAAATTAACTCACTGAAAACTAATTGACTATTGTGAAATATGCAGTTGGTATAAGGACTGATCAAGCAGAGGCTTAACAAGACAAGTAGTTTGATGGCCTGGAAAAAACCCTCACATAATGCATTAGCCACTTTGGCAGTAGTAACAGTCTTAAATCATCACATAATCAGCCTTAGAGCGAGCCACGGTATGTTTTTCGTGACAAAATTGAAAGGAACAGGATCTAATAAATATTTACAGTGCTTATTTCATCCTTTTGTACTTTTAAGTGAACGTTGCTTAAACCAATATATATATAACAAGCAAAGAATCCATTACTCAAGTAAATTTTACTCCTGAGAAAAATTTTAAAAATTGCTACACCATAAGTCGTGATTTTCTCATTCTTGTGCATGAGCCATACTGTTGCATTGTAGTGCTCATAATTTATATTTTGGACAACTGGAAATACTACAATGAAATTAAAATCAAAGCATTCCTAAAACACAGTCTCAACAAAATGAAAGAGAGCTAAAGTGTGATTTTTCCCCATGTGACACCAGCACTGGCATCTCCACCCAGATGGAAACTCAATGGTACAAGGAAAATCTCAACTAATCAAGACAAACTGAATTCTCAGCACCACCAGTCCAAAAAATGTTGCCAGAATGCTTTCCCAGCCTAGTGATAAATGAGAGAGGTAAAGAGTAAGAGGTGCATCACCATCATCATCAAATGCCAGATCTGCAACAGACATTGGCGGTGATGGTTCACCATCCATTCCTTTGTTCAGGTGCTCTCAAAAGAGTTACATTATCCGGATCTTTCCCTGTCACCCATCTGTTTAGGCTATCCAAGTACGTTGCTCTGGGTTTTCCCCTCCCTTGTTTGCCTTCAATTTTGCTAGAGAGAGCTAGATGTTCAAAGACTTAATGCATTCGTCTTTTCCTGACTGTTTTTGTCAGCAAACGGCCCACATGGGCTTCCTCAAGTACAACCTCATTTGATTTCTTTTCCTTCCACAAATTCTCAGCAGTATCCCAAGAAACCACATTTCAGTAGCTATACCGCTCTAAATCTTGCCAGTCATATTGTAACAAAATTTTCTATCAAGGCATAAAGAAAACTGATGTTTCACAGCCTAAATTTCTCTTACCTGAGCCATACTGCTGAGGGTAATGGCAGCCGAAGTCTCAGAGTCATCAAAGGGAAATCTGTGTAGCAGAAATAGCAGATAGAGTAAAGTAGGAGCAAGGCAGAGTGTGATGTGTATGTGTGTTTGTGTGTTTAAGTGTGTGTGTCAGGGCTACCCAGCTACTAGCATATTGCACTATAATAATCAACAAATTAAAAAATTAGCAATCTGGCTTTAAAATTTGTGATGTGGCCCTGGGATGTCAAGGATATGGGTTGAAAGTTCAAGGATGAATGTGACATAAACAGAGGCAAGATGAGACTCCACTAACTTATTTGTTAGGAAAAAAATAAGAGTGGTCGTGGGAGTGTGTATAGTTACTGGCTATCAGCTCCACTCTTGCCAAAACAAAAGAAACTGACAGGACCCGTCACACACAAGCATTTGATCCTGATTGTGCATCACTGCACACCATGCCCCACCCATGAGCCACAGCTGATTGTTTCAAACAATGCTCCTTTTTTTTTATTCTCTCGTTGACCTAGGACATCACACACACGCAAATCACAGGAAATTTTAAACATCTTGTCAAACTAATGTTTGCCTTACTCCTGGTGGCTTTGACACAGCTATATTTTTAAAGAGTAAAATGGCACTGAACAACTACAAGGGCTCCTTGTTAAAGTTGTCAGCTGCATGTGATGTAGTGACAAGACATGAAGGTGTTTTAAATACAAAGACTATGTGTGTGTTCCAAAAAAAATATGGAACCTGAAAATCTGCTCCTTATGTGTATGTACATTTTCGCTACGTGCATGTTTGCTATGTGCATGTTAGACTGTACTTCCAGTCTGTGGGAGAATCACTGGAAAAAACAGACGGGTAACAAACTCCACAATATTAACCCAAACTGGGACCGAGAAATCCTTTGGATCTCTCCAGAAGAGATGAAGTCATTTTTTCTCGATTACACATCAGACACACGGCCCTAACACACAAATACCTCCTTCAGGGAGATGAGAAGCCGTTCTGTGTCGGATGCGACACAGATTTTACCATTAGACACATTTTAACCGAATGTCTAGAATTCAGACAGATCTGAAGGAAATACTTTAAATGCAAAAAATTGTAGACATTTTTTCCGTCGTTGATCCCAACAGAATTTTGGAATTTATGAAGGCCATTGGCCTTTATGGGAAATTGTAGAGCGAAATTGAAGTATATAAAAAATTTTATGACAGTTGTTTTAGATTGAAAATATATATTTACACCAAATTTTAAATATTTTAAACGTTTTAAGATCTAATGACCCCTACCCAGGCATACAGTGAACTGCAAATAAAACTAACTTGTGTTTCGCGCACTCACATGACCTTATGCAGTTGCAAGCGCCGTAAAACCCCTTACTAAACTAAAGACTGTACTTATTGCAAACTTGAGACTTTTTCCCAATGTTCTAGGGTCTGCTGGGTAATAATACCAGCAAAGCACACATGGATGCTGTAGAGCACGCATTTGCGTTGTATATTATTATTATTATTATTATTATTATTATTATTATTATTATTATTATTATTATTATTATTATTATTATTATATCTATAGATGTTATTATTATTATTATCATCATCATAATTATTATTATTATTATTATTATTATTATTATTATTATTATTATTATTATTATTATTGATGTTATTATTATTATCATCACCATAATTATTATTATTATTGATGTTATTATTATCATTATTATTACTATTATCATTATTATTATTATTATTATTGTTATTACTATTGCTATTACTATCATTACATTAATACCTCGAGAGCATAACTCCATCAGTTTCTGTCTGTGACCCGCTGAGGGTGAACTTACCTTCCCCTGCTGTCCGGGCACTGACTCTGCAGTAGAGGACTCTGTGGTCCTGTGGCAATGTCAGCCAACTCCATCAGCTTCTGGGCGTGGTTGAGGGAGGAGGAGGAAGAGGTGGAGGAGCAGTGGTTGCTGCTGCCTGTGACAATGCTGGCACTGGATGCTGCAGGCAGAGAGGAAAGCCGGGAATCAGATGAACTCAAGCAATTGGTCCTAAATTACTGCAAATCATTACTTTCCTAAGATAATTTTCTAAGTCATCTTTGGCCGGTCCGGATTTTTTTGTTCTGAATTGAAGAGCAGAGCCAGCTTGTTAATATAGTTCACTTTGACAAAAGAATAATCCAAATTTAAAATCAATTGAGAGTACAAAATTCAAGCATTTCACACAGCCAATAGTTACAAAATAAAGGGTTTTTTACTCATTTTCTCAAAATGGCTAAAAATGACTTAGGCATTTATCTTAAGAGCGTGACAACATGTTTTATATTCCCATCAACACAGGTAGTTTTTTGTATTTCAGAGACAGACTTCTTCAACTTTGATTTCAAATGATTTTTTACAGTAATTGCGACACACATCATGATGAATGCTCAGACTTAATGGCTGTGCTTGCAACATATATATGTAGCTAGTACTGTCACAGCATTCTACGTCCATCCAACCATGAGGACAACATGAAATTTTGACATTCCTGTCTTTGTATACAAATTTAGTGCTTTCCTTTGAAATGTTAACAACAGTTGGTAATACATACTCTTTTCAATAGAACTTCTCAGACTATCAGCTGCATTGCAATTACATATATATATATATAAAACAACTCACAGCTTTCAACAAATGTAACCTTTGAACCGTATATGATCAAAAGACTCTGCTGTACACATCTATAGTACAGACAACTGACAGGCATGGAAAAGAAAATTAAACAACACAGCCTACTAAAGGGTAATGGTCTCATGAGCAACTCAAATACAATATGTGATATTTGACAGGCAAGTTTGGCAATATTATCTAAAAGTTTGAACATTTCCTTTTAAGTAATCTCTCTACTAGATCTCCCCCCAAAAATGGCCCGCACAAAACGTTTGTTTGAAGTGTGTTTTACAAAGAGCTGGATACAAAATCTCTCCTCGCATCATATTACAGTTGTAATGAATTGAATTGACAATGTTTATAGGAACGTCTAGGTTCAAACTACAGAGAATGCCCAGTATCTCAAAGAGGGTTCACCATGTGGCAGAGTCACTAAATCACAGGAACCTTGAGATCAGAACCTTGACCATGAAAAAGTCAGTGAAATGGCTCCTTTAATAGCTAGATATACAAATACGGGAAAAAGAGTATCAATAAAAAATATCACTGATTTTATCAAATAAAAAGATACTCCAAAAGCTTTAAAAAGTTGATAAAAATGTTTAAATATCTTCATCGTTAGGTTTTGAATTTCAAAAACAAACAAAAACAACTTATGTAAATTGCAACAAGTCCATTTCTTGATGTCTGATTTGTTATATATACTAAATAAAATGGTTCTGTGGTTGGGACAAGGCGAACGTGCACAGAAGTACATACTGCTGGCAGCGTAAGATGAGCTGGGCGTAGCAGAGACCTGAAGAGCTCCTCGGCATCGCTTCCCTTTGCGATGATACTTTAAACCATTGGAACTGAAAATAGAAACAATTGGACAAACCTTGTAAAACAGAATACAACAGAACTGAGGAATCTAAAAGCATCTTTATAGGTTAATTAGTGCAAGTGCACCCTCGTGTACATACTTAGGCAACACCCTGCATTTGTGCACATTAACACAAACTGGCATATTATATACGTGAATGCCTTAAAAGGAATACACTTTATAGATTATAATGCAAGGAAATGTACGTGAAAAAAACATTAACCTTTGAACTGATGTATGTAACTTGTATCAGTAATAAAATTACTATATCATACAAAGGAATTTTGGACAAGGGCTTAATCTGGAATATATTTGAGACCTGAAATTTGGACAACTGAAGGCCTTATGTGTACATTTAGAGATGGTTCAGATATCAAAAGTGTTGATGTCCAGTTCCAGTGATACAAAGTTAACAGGAGAACTCTGTAGGCCTACCCAACAGGACATGAAAATCCCACTGGATTACTAACAGACAGTTTAAAGCTAGAGGAGATGTGTGTGTGTGTGTGGGGGGGGGGGTGTGTGTGTGTGTGTGTGTGTGTGTGTGTGTGTGTGTGTGTGTGTGTGCGTGTGGGGGGGGGTTGTATTCAATCTAGTCAGTGGAACATATTATGATTCTTTTAATGAATAAAAAATATCTTCATGAGGCTCAGTTTGTCAAAATATTTTAATGTTTTATACATGTATGTGAAGCACTGGCTAGAGCAAAATGTAAATTTATTCCTATCACCTTTTAAAGTCATGGCTACAGGTAAGAAGAGATACTGATGTGGAAAATGGAATATATCATTTATTACAATTAGCGAATGGTGACTGAGATCCTTCAAAAAAATTGAAACACACAAGGGTTTTTTTTCCTTATCTTAAGTCAGAAAGACATATGTAATATATTTGTAACTAAATTGTTTTCTTCAAAAGGAAACTTGATAACAGTAAATATTCCATATTCATATACAAAAATGTTAGACCACTGGGTTTGAGACATTTCTCACTCTCTGTGCTAGACTTTTCAGGATTTACATCAACATAATAAGAATCTGAGCACACTTAAGTCTGATGAACATACATATGTACACTCATGCAAATCAACATTAGTCATGGATATGGTAGTTAGTACACAGTGCAGGCCACATGCAAACTAAACAACGGGCAAACACAATGACTGACCACCACAAACGTCTTATTCTTTAAGAGATATCATTATGAGAAATACAAAATACAGGTTGATTAAAAAAGATTGAACCGATTTTATTACGCATTTCTTCAGTTCTCAAGCATCGTTAAGAAATGAGTCAGTGACCGTTTGAAAGAGGAGTTATCTAATTTTTTAATTAAAAAAGAAAGAATCAATTTTATGATGCATTGTTTCAGTTCTCAAACATCGTTATGGAATAGTCAGTGACAATTTGAAAGAGGAGTTATTTAACTTTTGAATAGCTGTCACAGGAGATATTGTTGTCGTTACTTTGAAGGAAATACCGTTACAGGATAAACCTATCTTAATATACTCCAAAACTGGCTTTTCAAATTATGCAACCATATTTCCAAGACTTTGTTTTTCAACAAGATGGAGCACCCAATCAACTCAATGGACCGTGATAAGCTGAAACATGTCTGGGATGAGTTCTTTTATCGCACTGATGTTGCCCGTGCTGCTGGCGGTGGCCACACTGAACACTTGTAAGGCAGGAGTTGATTGTGTGTACAATGCTTGCAACATAGCTTGAGTTTTCTATTGCTTTTCTTTAGTAAAATATTGCATAATGAAATCGGTTCATTCTTTTTTAATTATCCTGTACATAATAATAAAGTCTGCCTTTATGCAAAATAAAAATACACCTTCGAAATAATGGTTATCTCAAACTGAGAGAAAAGTAAGGCAGAAATAACAATAAGGTAGAAAAACGAACGAAAATGTTAAATTTTAACTTAAGCATTGTGCTCTGGTTTGTTTTTTTTTGGGGGGGGGTCTACCTTTTACTTTGTTGTTTATTGAACTTACAAAACTTCCTTAAATTTTACAGAATGACTTCCTTTCTTAAATAGGCGTATGGCCTGAATGATTTTATATGGGACACCATTAACAGATAAATGATATATGCTCCTTCTCCATAGGAATGCTAAACATCACATCTTTCATTTTAAAAAGGTAAAAAATAAATTTACAATTTAAGAAATTCAACAAGTAAATGTCTACCATTTTATTTTAGTATGACATAACCAAACAAAACTTTTAGTCTCAGTCTTAGTAAGAGTTTTACGGCACTTGCAAGACAATAAGGTCATATAAGTGCCAAAGAATAGATTACGTGTTACAAGAGAGTAACATACACAAAAAAGAAGGAGGGGAGATAAGGACGACAAATGTTTGATAGGAAAGAAGGAGCAAACACACCAGAGTACCCGCCAAACACCCACCCATATAAAACGCCAGCCAAGACCTGCTACAAAATTTAAATATATTGTTTTTAATGCTAAACTGGTATGTTCAACAACATTCAGACTGATCTAAACTGCTCTATAGTAGAAACTGGAAATTAGAATGAGGTCATGCGAACCAGTTCGTTGATACTGTTGATTATTTGATCATTGAAAACCCACACTGGTTTGTTTATTTAACTATAGGATGAAACTTAAAGAAAATATTTTTGAGTGCTTTTTTGTTGTTTGTTAGTTTAGGGGTTTTGGGGGAATGGGGGGAGGGGGTAAACAGGGTGCTGCAGTCGTGCTAGCTTTCCACAATAGAGAGTGGACAAGGAACATTTTGTAACCTTTCCTAGTATATAATTCTCACAAAGTTATCCTTGTGTTTGGAGCGTGCACGTAATAACTTCACACAATGGGATTTTCACATAATTACAGCGTTTGTATAGAAAAAAAATGTCCACTCAGCGGCAAGTTCTTTGTGATTTACAATCTGTATTCTGTTAGCATTCTGAAACAATCTCAACTTCGTTGAAAGTATACAGTGCATACTAGTAGACCAACAACACAACCCTAAAAATCAAGCTCACAGAGCAAGCATCCAGGTCACTGGCCGTAAAGAGAAATAGTCAAAGGGAAATATAGAACAAATAAAGCTTAGACCAAAAAGTAGAGGTCTAACCAACCAATTTTTTTGCTTTGTATTTACAACATCTAAGACAACATTGACAAAAGGAGTTATAACAAAAAGAACAGTAATGAAAAAAAGACAACAACAATAACAACAAAAACAACAACACATTAATGGGAAAAAAAACATAGATAACGACATGTGGGCAAAATAATCGCAAAAGATGTAAATCAAAACATAAAATGACAACACTGATCAGTTGATGACAACAACAAGAACATACAGCAAGTAATAACAACATGTAGAAAAAGAATAAGTATGAGTCAGTTACTGAGACATTCTACAGCACCAATAAGAGGTGTGTAAAACCATGTCACTTGTGCGTAAGTTATGACGGGAATGATGGCAAATACTAAATCATTTACCACAGGCATGATGATGATGGTAGTGGTGAGATGGAGATGATGGTTGGCTAACTGTTAGCATGGGAGGATGCATATGCCTTCAACTGAAATACATTACTTCATATCAATTACTGGCAAGGACACATCATTTAATCTTCAAAGCGAATATGGCAGCAGACTTGCAAACTCAATTTTAGATATTTAATGAGAGGTGCACACTATGTAGAATGAAAGTGCCCTATTCTACATAGCGAAATTCTCTAAAGACAAAAACTAGAAAATAATTTTTTTTAAATAGACCTACATTTAATGTTGCAAGTACGAATCATCAGCATAAACATTGATTCAAATATGTTAGTTGTTTTTTTTTAACAAAAATAAAAACGAGACATTAACATTAGACTTTTAAACAAAGCAAATTTGAAAACACTTTGAAGTTTTAAAGAATGAAGAAAGGAAACACTGAATCAAAGACTTTCAGAAAACACAAAATGAAAAACAAATGAAGCCTTATGGAAAAACAGATAACACCATAATCATAAAACCACAGGGGGCTACCAGTGAGTAATTTCCTCTCTGGAGTCTCTGATTAAACACGCAAGTTCAACAATATTCCAATCCATTTTGGGTCTTGAGAGAAAAAAAAAATACTTCTACGTAACAAGACTGCAAACTGAAGGGATTGGAATTGTGCAGGAAGCATGCAGACTGGCTCATGAGACTACAGCAGTTGATTAGGAAATGAAAGGTATGATCAGCAACTAAGACATTCCCGTTGAAGCTTCTATAAACTTAGAAAAAAAAGAAAAGAATTAGTAGCAATACTAATAAACTACCCAGCAATACTATGTTCTTACAGAAGTCATTCGATGTGTTTACCTTTTAAATGTTTTAAAACAGATATCACAGGTAAAGCTTTCATTTTCCTTGCGGTTATGTGACTGCTTGTGGTAGCGGAAGCCAGGAGCCGAGTGCAGGATGCGACCACAAGACTGGACCGGACATCGCCATTCTCTCCCTGAGTGACTGGTCAGCTGACGCATCTGGTGGTACTCCTGCATCCTACGAGACTGGATCGGCTTGCGCTTCATGAGCTGGCAATGGGAAGAAGATGATCATATTCATAGTGACAGTAAAGACGATGATGAAGAAGATGAGGAGGAGGGGAAAGGCGGAAAGAAAGAGCTTACTTTTAGTAACAGTTTTACAGTACTTGTAGCACAATATGGGTGCACAACGTGCTGGAATCAGGCGCTCGTCAATTTTTGGGCATGAGAAGTATTGGTATCATCTTAAAGCTTGTTCATTGATCTTGCTTTCAATGAAAAAAATACTTATCTATCTTGAGCAGAAGTTGAGACATTTGCATTGAAAGAGATGGGGGTCGCCTGGTTTCAGAGGTAAAATTAGCAAGAAAATGGTCGTCAAAGTTTGGTGATTTCCAAAGCTTGAGAGTATTTGGTAACTGACAATTTACTTGTTTAATCAATGTTTTTCAGTAAAATCCATACAAAAATGTATTTTCAAAAGGACATAAAAGGTGGAGGGCCAAAAAACAAAAATTCGAAAAAAATTACGAAACAATCTGAAAAAATGCAGATTTCTTTGATTTCATTGTTTTGACAAGTGCCTGATTTCACAACGATGCCTCACATATTTTATGGTTATATAAGTGAGGAAGTTTTGAAGTGTTGCAAGAGAGTAACAAACATAAAAAAGAAGGAAGAAAGATCAGGACAATAGATGTTTGTTGTGTTGTTTAGTAAAAGGTTTACAGCCCTTCCAGCTGCATAAGGTCATATGAGCACGCAGACAAATGTTTGATAGGAAAGAAGGAGCAAACCACACCAGGCCATCTACCAACCACCCGCTAGAGGAGGAAGACAACAATGACGAAGAAACAAAAATCATTAGTGTGTAATCAATTATTATCACTATTAACATTGTTACAATTATGACAGACAGGCGGAGAGAATGACAAACAGACAGACAGACAAACTGACAGACAGAAATGATTATTTTTACTTGGAAAGTCAGTCGACTAGACATTGAAATTGAGATAATAGAAACAATGCCTGAGAGTTCTATATCAAAAGCTGTTTCTTTATACTCCCACGATAAAAGTGTATGGCAGTAACATCCACGTGTCCATCGTTTATGACACAGCCATAATTTAAATGCTAGCTGGAAATGAGAGAAAGCTTGAGTAGTTCATAACTTTCAATTAACACACTGAATCCTGATCCATACCCTTCCAAAAGACCTTAATGAACTTTTGGCGCATTAGATCTTTGCACTAAACAAGGCGAATAGAACTCATTGATATCACACCAAAAAGTGGCCTCCTCATGTTCATACTCCACTAACAAACATTTACTTTTATAGTAGTCCTAAGCAAGATTTCCGGCAAATTGGGAAGAATTTTAGAGCCTTTTGAAAGCCCCAAATACTTCTAAGTCAGCACACCGTAACACACTTTTTCATCTTTTTTCCCCCGTAGCACACTCACTTAATCTTCATCAGCGTATAAAAATAATAAATTACTAAAAATTAATTGGCCTTGCTGAAAAACAAGCATATCGATGTCATTCAACCTTGACTTCGGTCCTACAGACTGCCCGGTCAGCAGCTGACCGAGGTTATTAGGCATAACCGCTTCTTCACGGGTGAGTGGTCAGTATGGAACATAGACTAATCAGTGAGAGGTCATTTCTTACTAAGACTTTTACAAAGTATTGTTTTCACTGGAAAAAGTAAGCTCCTTCATTCACAATTAATGGCACTAATATATATTTATTATGAGCAGAGTGACTTTGAAGAGACTTCAAGGATATTACCTTTTTTTAAAAAGGTCAAAATCAATTTCACAGATTGAAAAAAAATCACGTTATACATGTGAATCTCTATAAAATTCAGGGATGCTAGCCATCATGCCAAGAAAATGAATTTGGATTTTGATAATCATGATGTCCCGCCCAAAGCATTCATCATAGAAACTTGTTTTTGCAAACCACTCACCTCTAAATATTATCTAGAAAGAGGTAACCACAACACACACACACACACACACACACACACACACACACACACACACACACACAC